CAGTTCAGCTATTAGTTTCCATGGAATGAATATGTAATTCAAAAAGATATCTGCAACTGAAAATATGAAATTCTACATCAAGGTCAAGCTAATATAAAGCTTATAACAGAAAGACAACTTTCAGTGAAACATTACTATTGTTACATTTCCAAAAACATAAAGATGTAGTCTGTCTTTTTCATTAAAAATTCTGTTCAACAAAAATCTCTGCTCTATTAGATATGTTAACATGGTTGTTAAACTTTTAATATCAACTATTATAAAAGTTATTTCTGAACTTGCAAATGTTGTTATTCCAAACTGGAATAATAGTAATGTATATAAAGAGTCTATTAATAACTTTCTCATTTTACAAAAGAACAGATAGGACAGAATACACTTTCCTTTGCATCTTATTTTCAGTTAACCCTTACCTGTCCCCATGTATAATGAGAAATCTCACTTTTACATTTTATTTATGCAATTTTTTCAAAAAACATATTTTTGTACTCAAAGAAAATTCCTATTGTATCTTGACAAACTAGGTGATATATATCAGTATCAATAGTCTATATACGCTCTCTCGTACTATATTAATATGGTACAATATTAAGGCAATATCAAGGGTTTCCAATTCAATGTATAGAATGTGAAGGATGTGTGTTTGTGTTTATTTTCATAGTCATAATGTACACCGAAGATGGTATTTAATTTTGTTATACAAGGTGCAATGACAATAAAGTAAACTAAAATATTCTATATTACTAACAGTTTTGGAGTATTTCAAATATTTTTTTTCCAGATACAGATGTCTGCATGAAATGTCCAGAAAATCAGTACCCCAATAATATGCAAAACCAATGTATTCCCAAAGTTTTTACTTATCTCTTTTCTAATGAACCTTTGGGAATCCTCTTTATTACAATGGCTATTGCTTTCTCTTTGCTTTCCTTGTTCTTGGAGTCTTTTGGATACACCAAGAAACTCCAATTGTCAAAGCCAATAATTGGAGCCTCACTTGTATCCTTCTCCTTTCACTTTTTTTCTGTTTCCTCTGCTCCTTCCTCTTCATGGGTAGACCTGAAAAGATGACTTGTCTTTTACGGCAAACAGCTTTGGGTGTTATCTTCTCAGTGGCCCTTTGTATTGGCAAAAACCATGACAGTGGTTTTGGCATTTATGGCAACTAAACCAGGCTCTGGAATGAAGAAATGGGTAGGGAAAGGACTGGCCAATTCTTTTGTCCTTTCGGGTTCCTTCATTCAGGTGGTAATTTGCACAATTTGGCTGAGTACTTCTCCTCCTTTCCCAGATACAGACCCGTGCTCACTGAAGGAAGAAATCATAATGGAATGCAACAAGGGCTCTGTGATCATGTTTTACTATGTCCTGGGTTACATGGGCTTCCTGGCTAGTGTCAGCTTTAACATTGCTTTCCAAGCCAGGAAGCTTCCAAGCAGTTTCAATGAGGTCAAGTTCATCACTTTCAGCATGTTGGTCTTTTGCAGTGTTTGGCTGACATTTATTCCAACCTACCTGAGCACCAAAGGGAAATACATGGTAGTTGTGGAGATCTTTTCTATCTTATCTTCCAGTGCTGGTTTATTAGGGTGTATATTTTTTCCCAAATGCTATATCATTCTATTGAGACCTGAGATGAACAGGAAGGAACATTTAATAAGGAAATAAAATAACTATTTATGTGTTTCACTATAATACATAATTATTTAGGATCTTTAGCTCATTCATTTTAAAAGTGTTTTAAAACTGCTCCTATATTAAAATATTTTAGTCTTTCTTCAAATAAGGTAGATTTTTGGGGAAATCTATGCTATATGATTCATGATTTCTTCATAAAACACACTTTGTAGAATAAAATCAAGTCATTTGAAGGGCACATTCTAAACATCAAAGAATGAAATCAGCCATCTAAAATATATCAAATTATTATATAAATATCAGTTATCCTTATGAATGTGAATGGCTTATATCCATATAATCCTTTGAGATTTCACATGGATTTACTGTATATTAAAATTACCTAGTATTTTTAAACTTGTTATTAAATAAGGAAATAAAGAAATAAAACTTTATTTTTGAGTCATTACAGTTTTTACCTTTCTGTGGTTTGTGTTGGATGATTCATTATTTATCCCATCAATGAAATAAATCAGTCTGGCAAGGTTACTAGTTTAGTTTGGATTGATTATGTAAGTAATCCCTTCCAGGGTAAATGGTTTGACCACAATAAGTAAAAGAATATGATAAATATGTATATATATGTAGAAAATATAAATTGTATAGGATGCAATATAAGATGCATACTATTGTTAAAACATGCAACATGGCATGTAAGATGAATAACCTGAGATGATTCCTAAAAGTTGGTTATATGATGTAAAAAATAAATTTGAAGAAAAATTGTATTTTAAAGAACAGCAAACTTCTAGTGCAAGAATAGATATCTTTTGAAACTCTGGTTTAATCACTGAGATTATATTTATATTTGGTATTTTGCCGGGTAGCATATTTGTTTCTAATTTGTTTTTGTTTTTTTAAGTTAATGAATAGGGCAAGTAGCTTCATATGTGTCAATGAAGTTATTTCACTACATTGTCAGTCTTCTGGGACTTTCAGTCTAAAACTATGAACTGTATTATGAAAAGTGCACCTTGGTCTACATTTCCATGTTCTTGAGCATGTGTGTCAAACTTGCCATGTCACATTGCCATCATGGTATGTTTCATGATATTTTTTCCCTTCGCAAAGCTGTGGTGGGCATGGCTTTTGTGTGATGCATCCAGCCTGCAGGAGCCCAGTTTGACACCTCTGCTCTTGAGTGATTTGTATTAGTTGGAGACTGCAGATGTTCTCAGAAAAGTTGAATATTTGGACCTCTAACTATGTGGGAAGATAAGAACAGCTGTAGGATACACTATTCTCAAAGTAATGGAATCTATCATCTAAGTCAGGTGTGTCAAACTCAATTTCATTGAGGGCTGCATCAGGGTTATGTTTGACTTTGGGGGGATGGGGTCCAGCTTCACATCACTTGTGTGGGGGGCACCTGTGGTAGCCATTTGCTAAGGCAGGACTTCCCCCAGAACCTCCCTCACTCTCATTATAATCTTCCTTCCTTCCTTCCTTCCTTCCTTCCTTCCTTCCTTCCTTCCTTCCTTCCTTCCTTCCTTCCTTCCTTCCTT